TGAAAGCAGAAAACTTTTTGGAACAAATGAAAATATACACCTTTGGAATACATCAAAAGCAGTTCTAGGAAGGAAGCTGATGCTATTAAACTCCTGCATCAGAAAAGGAGAAAGATTTCCATAAGCAAATTAAAAATGAACTTAGGGACCTAAAAAAACAAAACTAACCCCATGCAAAATTAGAAAGGAGGTAACTGTATAAATCAGAGAAGAAATAAATAAAATTGAACCTAAAATCAAAGCATTATCAATGGTAAGTGATGGTTTAATGAGAAGATGAACTTCACACACTTTTGGATAGACTAAGATAAGAAGAGAGATGAGCCTAGTAAATAAAATTTTATAGGACAAAAGACATAGTACAATTAGTTCCACAGAAATACTAAGGGTTATTAAGAAATATTTTGAACAATTAAATGCCAGCACGTTGATGAGCATAGAGAAAAGTAGATAAATTCCAGGGCACATACAATCTGCCAATATTGAACCACAAATAAATAGAAAAGCTAAACGGAACAATAATGAGCAATGAAAATGATTTACTTATAAACTATTTTCCAACAAAAGAAACCCAGTGATCCAATAGTGTCACTACAAAATTCCAGGAATATTTCCAAGAACAACTACTGCATTAATGTTTCCCACACTATTTCAGGAAATTAAAAAGGAGCGAAGTTTGCCAAAGTCATTCTATGAGGCCAACATTACACTGATACCAAAATTAGTCATGGGGGGGTAAGAAGAAAGAAAGAAAGAAAGAAAGAAAGAAAGAAAGAAAGAAAGAAAGAAAGAAAGAAAGAAAGAAAGAAGGAAAGCAAGGAAGGAAGAAAGAAGGAAAGAGAAAGAAAGATAGGAGAGAGGGAGGGAAGGAAGGAGAAAGAAAGAAAGGAGGGAGGGAAGGAAGGAGGAAGGAAGGAAAGAAAGAAAAGAAGGAAGGAAGAAGGAAGGAAGAAGAAAAAAGAAAGAAAGAAAGAAAGAAAAAAGAAAGAAAGAAAGAAAGAGAATAAAAAGAAAGAAAAGAAAAATTGGCATGGTGGAGTGGTGCATGCCTGTAATTCCAGCACTTGGTACGCTGAGGTCAGAGGATCACCATGAGTTTGAGGCCAGCCCTGAGTTAGTTACATAATGAGCTCAAGTCCAGCCTGAACTTCATCGCAAGATCCTGTCTCCAAGAAAAAATATAGAAAAAAAAATTGCATGCCAGTTCTCTGATGTACATACATATAAATACTCTCAAGAAAATGCTAACCAACTTGGAACAGGGATGTTGCTTAACAGTGGAACATTGTCCTTGCATGCATGAGACACTGGATTCACTCCCCAAACTCAAAAACAACATATTTACAATATTAGTCAATCAGATCCTACTGCACATCAAAAGATTGCACATGATCAAGTGGGATACAAAGCAATGAACATAATATACTGCCTCAGTGAAAGACAAACACGATGTAATCATCTAGTTGAGGAAGAAAAGATGTTCGCCAAAACTGTGCATTTCTTCATCATAAAAACTCTTCACTAATTAGGTATAAAAGAAATATACTTCAACAATAAAGGCTACATATGAAAAATATACTGTCAATGTCATACTGAGCAGCATAAAATTGAAAATATCATATCTATGACCTGGCACATGATGAGAATGTTCATTTTCACCACTTTTACCCTATATAGTATTGAAAGTCATAGCCATAGCAGTTATACAGACTAAATAAATAAGGTCTACCCCCACAAGAAAAGAGAACATCAAATTATTCTGGTTGGCAAATGACATAATTTTGTATATTTAAAAAAAACCTAAAGACTCAATCCTAAAATTATTAGAATTGATAAACTCAGTAAAGTTGTTGGATACACAATCCAAATACCAAAAAAAGTTACAGTCACACAAATAACAAACTTTTTGGAAAATAAACAAAGGCAGCAATTTCATTCAAAATGGCTACAAAAAATTTCCACAAATAAATCTGACCATGAAAGTGAAAATTCTCTACCAAAAAATGTATAAAACAGTGATGAAATGAATGGAAGAGAAAACATCGCCCAAACACACACATACAAAAGAAGAAAGAGAAGAAAGGAAAAGAAACAGAAACAGAAAAAAACACCCAACCTCCCATGGGCACAGATGAAAAGAATTAATATTGTTGAAATGTCCATATTGTTGGTCCTGTGTCTTGGTGCTGTAGTCCTGATCCTCAGCACATTGCAGAGTTCCACATCAGCTGGCTAAACTCTAAATCTTGTATTTCTACTAGCTGTGAGCTACATGGGAAGGATTTGGAAGACCCCCAAGCCACACAATGGAAGAACCTGGGAACATCAGCAAATTAAAAATGAATACAAATTTTGAAGAAGAAATTTAAGAAGAACAGAGGTAGAAAAATACTGTTAAGTTAAATTAAGGCTTAAGCAAGGAGGCTTCAGATCAGATTTTTTGGACTCTAGACCAGATATTACTGTGAACATTAAACTTCTTAATCCAAAACAAGAAGAAAATGTTGTGTGTACACAGGCCTTCCCTGGTCATTCATCACTAAATGTGCCCATCATAGCTCACATTTAATTCAAATCATATGAGTAGGAGGGATTTTAGAATGAAGCTTTCCAAATATGGAGAACACTAAGGAGACCTGCAGTGATTCCCAGTCTTGTCAGAAGCATGCAAGGACATCCCCTGGAGAAAAAATCTATTCACATACGGATTGTGGAAAAACCCACTCTCACTGCAATAAAGGAACTGACGCTAAAAACAAGTGCCTTGTATGTGGGCAAGATGCAAAACCCTTCATTATACACAATTATGTTCCAATCCTTGACAGAAATCCCATTGTGGTGAGCCCCTATGTATGTTCACAATGTGGCACAGCCTTCACTAATTAATATCCTTTCATTTTGGAGACATGAAAGGCCCCACAATGCAATATATGTAAGCAATGTGGGAAAATATTCAGTAATACCCATTCATATTACGCACATGGAAGGATTAACACTAGTGAGAAACCCAATGGATGTAGGCCATATGGAAAAGCATTCAATTTACACAGTAACTTTCAAAAGCATGAAAGAATTTGCACTTTACACCAAGAACCATCTCAAGCGTAAAAGTTATACTACAAAATAACTGAATACAAAATGTGACTGACATTGACATAACAGGACTCACAGTGGAACAATATGTGGAATCTTTCAAAAATCGTTCATGTATGATCAAAAACACAGCATGTGTGATCATATGTATGAAAGAAGTTGCAGTGAAATGTTTCTGAACATATATAAACAATGTGGGAAAAGTTGTATTTTTCCCAACATATTCAATGCATGAAACAATTAACATGGGAGATTATAAGTAAACAACGTTGGAAACCCTTCTATGCTTTCAGTTACCTTGAAATGAATTAAAGAACCAACACTGGAGAGAAACCCTATGCAAATATGTAAATAAGTAATGTAAGGAAGCGATGTGTGATTCTCAAAACCTCGGAAAAAAATGAAAAGTGGGTAAATTTGTGTGACCATGTATTTGGCACTCCTTCTGTAGTTACCCAAAGCCACTAACAATGAAACTCAAATTAGTAAACTGGGGTTCATCCAAATTAAAATTTTCTGCATGAAACAATACCATCAAGAAAAGTGAAAAGATGCAAAATTAGAATATACGTGAAAATGATACATTAATAAGAGACCTGCATAGCGAATACACCAAAAATGAACTAAAGAACAAGAACAAATGTAATCCAATCTTACTTACAATGGCCAAGGAAATTAAATAGACATGTTTGTAACAAAGATATGAAAATCTCCAATAGGCATATGAAAAAATGTTCAACATTGTTTGGGCTCTCATCATTAAAATAGAAGTTTAAGTGAAGACTACAATTAGATATTGCTACATCCTCCCTAGCATGGCTATAATAAAAATAAGAAATAATATAGTGCTGGCAAAATTGGAAGGCAGACAATGCAGTGTAAATGGAAAATGGTGAACTGAAAAGAATCTGCCCATTTCTCTAAGGTTAAATACAGAGTTATCACCAGACTCTAAAATCCATGTTTAGTTATCTCACAAAGTGAAATAAAAACATACCCAGAGAACTTAGTTAAAGAATATTAATGAATTGCATCCATTATAAAATGCAAAATATGGGAAAAAAAGCAAATGTCCATCCACTTAATGATGAATCAATAATAAAATGAGATTTGGCAGTTATAAGGAATAATATTGATACATGCTATTAAATGGATGAAGCTTTAAATATTTCATAAACATGGAATTTAGTCAGAGAACCATGTATTGTATGATCCCAATTACATGAAATGCCCTAAATAAATAAGCCTCTAAATCTAAGAGGGAATTTAGTTGTTGCATATGTCTGAGGAATGTGAAATGATTATAGATAAAAGGTGATCTCTGTGGGGCTTAATTGCTCTACATTTGATTACATTGGAGAGTTTATAATTCTGCAATTGTACTATGTACTGCTGACCTAAGGCTTTAAAATTGATAAAATGTATGATTTTCTATTGATATGTCAACAATGATTGTACAAAACAGTCTACAGAAGCACCCTATGCAAAAAATGTTGTTTCACCATTTTTATAACTACATCTCTAATTCTGTGTAAATTAGCTATGTAGAAAAGTCACATTCACTTCCCATGGTTTTGTTTTGTTTTCTAATTTTCCACTGTTCTTGAGCTACTCCAAAATGTCTCATAGCACAGGTGAGTAGCAGATGTAAGGTCATCAAATTAACTGTACAAAATCACATATAATCATGAATGAGACATTAAACACCTTCATATAACCATGAAGTCATCCCACTTTTGCACTTTGCCCTGGCATCCAGATACCCTAACTGTTTTGTTATACATTTACATTGGTGAGTACAAGTTACATTTTAACTAAGCTATATTTTAACTACTTGCTAATTTATCCCTAGACATCAGCAAGAGCAGTGGAAATGTGGGTTGAAAGGAAAAGCTGTTCTCATCAGGATGACTATGAAACTCATTGCTGTTCTCTTGCTGCTTTGGCTGAGTAGTTACTTTAGTAGTGGGCGCTGTGGCAATGTGCTGGTGTGCCCCATGGAACACAGCCACTGAATCAATTTAATGACAATCCTGGATGTACTTGTCCAAAATGGTCATGGAGAGACTGTTTTGAGATCTTCAGCTTCCATTTTTTTTGATACGGAGAAGGAATCTGCTATTAAATTTGAGACTTATCCTACATCACTATCTAGAGGCAATTGGGAGTATATTTTTACAGAAGGACTCAGAAAATTAATTTATGATCTACTAAAAGAATTAACTTGGACATACTTTTCAATGTTGTGAGAAATAATGTGAGTAGATTTTAACTACATTGAAATTCTCTGTAAATAATTAGTACTGAGGGCCGGGGATTTAGCTCAGTGTTTCCGTTGCCTGTCTCACAAGCACAAGGTCCTGAGTTCGATCCCAGTAACAAAAACAAACAAACAAACAAAAAAAGAATTAGTGCTGAACAAGGAACTTATGTCAAAACTACAAGAATCAAGGTTTGACATTCTTCTTGCAGATGCCTTCACTCCCTGTGGTGGGCTGATTGCTGAGCTCCTGCATGTACCCTTTGTGTACACCCACCACGCATTTGCTGACTACACATATGAAAAGTACAGTGGAGGACTTCCATTTCCTCCTTCCTATGTGCCTATGGCACTGTCAGAATTAAGTGATCAAATGACAGTCATGCAGAGGGTAAAAAATATGATATATTACTCTATTTTGATTTTTGGTTCCAAACATTTGATGAGAAGAAATGGAATCAGTTTTACAGCAAAGTACTAGGTAAGTTCTGTTTTCAGTTGGTATCTTGAATGCCTAACTTTTCTATGCCTTTGATGGTCTGACTGAAAGAATAAAACATAAGAGGAGCTCAACTTTTCTAATGTAATGATGAAATAAATATATAAAATACTCTATCAATTTCAAAATATTCTGGAAAAGCTGACATTAGAAAAACCTTGCATTAGAAAGGTCCAACCATCACTTGTACAGAACAATTTAGGAACAAATAAATTAATAATGCGTAGCACCGAGGATTTCTTTAAGCATTTATTTGTCTAGCATTTTATCATTCATCTTATGTCATCTCTGAAAACAGTAATTGTTAAATCCCCTATATGTCTTGATGATAGTTACATGGAAATTGAGAAATTTCACACATTTGTGTCTCTAGGTAGCACTGAAGAAATTGCTTCCCCTAATGTATATTACTTTCTTCATTTACAAAATAACCTGTATTGTTATTTTATTTGATGAATTCTTTACATTTGGCAGATGTAGAGCCTCTATCCCAGAGAGACCATATATAGAAATTGAAATTTAACTGATTTCACTTTTTTATTTATATATTTATTGGTACATTTTAGATATATAATACATTTACATTTATAATTGGGTGCTTGTACCTGAACATGATGTATCTTAGTTCTTATTTTTCTCCCATTACCTGTGTGCCCTTCACCTGCTCCACCCTTCCCTATTTACATAGATTTTGTTTCCATTTTTTCTCATTCTCATAATTTTTCCTTTCCCTTCTTCCCTTTCCCCTTCCCCTCCCACCACCCCTACACCTTTGGAGATTTTCCTATTTCAATTTATCAATTATTCATTTTAATCCTTTTCATCCTTATTTACACATTCAGTTTCTCACACTAGAGAAACTATTCGGTATTTACACATGTGTCCTATTTATTTCACTTAAGAGTATGACCTCAGTATGCATCCATTTAGCTATAAATGTCTCTAGTTTCTCATTCTTTATGGCTGAGTAGTACTCCATTTTATTACAAAAAAAAACACATTTTCTTTATCCAGTTTCCAGTTGATGGGCACTTGGGCTTTTTCTAAGCTTTAGCTATTACAAACTGTGCTACTATACACATAGGTGCACATATATCACTGTGGTATGATTCTTTTAATTCTTTAGGGAAGATACCCAGTACAGGAATAGCTGGGTCAAATGGGACCTGTAGTCCTAGTTCTTTGAAGTATCTTCATACTGATTTCCACAGTGGTGGCACCAGTCTGCACTCCCACCAACACCCACTCATGATAAAAACGCTACAGAAAATTGGAATAGAAGGTCTTTATCTCAACCTGATTAAGGCTATCTATGAAAAACCAACAGCCAACATCATGCTAAGT